GTTTTTTTTTTTTTTTTTTTTTGTGTAAATAAATAAATAAAAGAGAGAAGTGAGTGCTGGTGTGGGGTGGTGGGAAATTATTTGAGTGCAGAGTGGCTGTGAAAGGTGGTTTGGTGGGTGTAAAGTGAGAGAGAGAGAGAGTATTTTAATCATTGAGAGAGGAAGTGGGGAATCAATCCTTCATTTGTTTTTTTTTTTACTCCAAAATGTCGTAGTCTCAGAAACCCATTTCGAAACTAGGGCTCAATACACTCCCCGATCGATTCCGGGACTCGATGACCTTTGACGACGACACCACCACCACCAACAAACCCGATTTCAGAGAACTCGATCTGGGTTCCCCTGTATCGCCCTTGACGACTCGGCGATCTCGGTCTCCAGGCGTAATAGATCCAACAAGGCTTCCAATAACCACTCCGGCGAGCTTTCTGGCTCCGTCGAGAGCTCCCCGAAGTCCGCCGGAAGCTCTCGATGCCGTGGTCCCACAGGTAGTCCAACTTGCTCACATACCTTAGCTTTCCATATAGACCTCCGCTGAAAATGAAGCGGCCAAAGGTGGCGAGGAAGAGCCTGGATTGTAGACCTGGGTGGAGGAAGTAGACAGCCTCCAGATTTTCCCGGACGTTGATCGGAATCGCATCGTAGATCGATCGTAGGGCTGAGATTCCTGGAAAATTCTCGCTCCTTTGAACATCGGTGTGCACGTACAACACAGAAAAAAGGCTTCTCCGTATTACCGGAAAGATCTTCCCTGCTCGGATTGTGAGTGTTGACTCTCTGAAGAAGTATCTGGAAGAGATGGTAGTAGGTGTAGGTGGTAGTGGAGGTGGTAGGTGGAGTGGGTGGTAGTGGAGGTGGTAGGTGGAGTAGGTGTAGTGGTAGGTTTTGGTACATTTTAACATGTTGTAATTTGTATTGAATCTTAATGATTCTTGATTCGATTCGATTCACAAAATTTGGATTTTGATTAACGATACGATTCTTGATTTAGCAACTGCGCTTGAGTAACGAAAATAAAGAGAAGAAAAAAAGAAGAAGAGGTTATTGTAATGTAGTTTTAGCTTGTATAATGAAAATAAAATGGAGAAGGCTTGCTTATATGAAAGTTGGATGATTTTTAGTTTAGTTTATTGGAATTGTTTTGTATACACATACTTATGTTGTAAACATGGTATAAATAAGTTTGACTATTGTTGCAGGTCTCCAGAAAGAAGCTACATTGGGTATTGTTGCTATTTTTGATGGCTATTATAGCAATGAAGCAAGTGAGACGGCATGGAAGTATATTGAGGAATACTTCTTCCTACACACGTATTTTCTATTTGATAGGTATTGCATTCTATACTATTTACTTATTCTTAACTTTTGAGATGAGCAGATAATTTGAGCGAGTCATGTTATAGATGAGTATGCTTTATTTTGAAAATTGGATGATGTATAGTGTGCTTTATTTTAAAAATTGGATGACATATCATATTATGATATGTGGATTGATTGACAATCTGTGTTCAAAGTTGTTTCTTGTAAATATTACTTGTATTTGTGCTTTTTCTACTTGTTAATCTTTCGTATCTCATGTTCTATGCATGTATGAATAGGTTGAAAATATAATCTTGAATTTGCACCTCCAATATATCAAATGTATTTGTGCATTTTTTAATCTTTCATTTGTCCATATGAATTATTGATTGAGATGATGACATGTGCATGAGTGTTATGTGCATGTTTGTGTTGCATGCATATCCATGGTAGAAATTGTTGGAACTCAAGCATTCAATTTTCTTGTTATTTTTTGGTGAGTCCATTTTCTTTGTTGGAAATATTGAACTCTGTTTTCCCCCTTATGCGCACATGCAATTAATTTTATTTTTTCTTGAGACATCAAGGCACGTAATTATGTATACGTAATATATCTTATGGACTGAAGTATGAATATGTGATACATCTACTCATTGGAAGGAATAATAGGAAGAAGCGGGTGTGTGGCTTGTGTCCGTATGCACACTCATGCTCTACTTAGGAACTGACATTGTCTTTTATATGATGTAGTGTTTTTTAATTGTCACGTGTGTAGTATCTTTGCTCTTAAGTAAATACATGACCTTGTATTTAACTTGCACATGCTCACTATACTCGTTGATTGCAAAGCATATTTTTCATATACAAGTCTATAATATAATGCAGCAACTTTTTTCTTTGGTTGCATAATTGTTACAAGAATTACAAGTGTAGGTAACTTCATTGTTAATTCGTCAACAGGCTGGAGGGTGATAATTTTGATGGTTCCTACGTTAAAATGTTAAAGGAAGCATTGGTAAGAGCGATCCACGATATTAAGGTATGAAATACTTTGTTTCAATCCCTTTTTGTTTCATATATTACTTTTTTACTCCTCATTATTGATTTGAGGGTGTCAACTTTGTAAATCGCAGAATAGGTATACAGCAACCATCATAGTTATGGTAGACGATCACCTATTCCTATCCAGCCTGGATGGAAGTGCTGAGGTTGCTACCGGTAGCTACAGTCGTTGGATGGCTGCTTCTCAATCTCAATCTCAATCTATGTGTGAAGTATCTTCTAGAAGGTATGATGTAATTCCAGCCTAGAAAAGCTATTATCATCTTCTTGTATTCTTACTTTTAAATACAGTTGGTTCCATTGAGACTAATTTAATGGGTTCGCCTGTCTTCTTTAATAAAATTTTTCTGTGACGTGAAACTTCGCCCTTCTTATAGTTATGACATTGCACTAACTTTGCACCATTGTTTAAGGAGATACCCTTCCCCCTCCCCCTCTTCATGGATAAGTGTGAGATCTTTATATGAAACGAAGAAAGAAACTGGGTGGGCATGCCTTTTTATATAGGGCACAATCACATATAATTTGTATGCAGGCTTTTCATCCATTAACATCAACAGATTCACGTTAAGGATTTACACATGAGAATAAGCTTTTATACCTCTATGGATCTTCCATCTTGAGCGGAGTCTCTCCTAATCTTGTACTTTCTCCCTTTGCCATATTTGGCATCTTCCAGTATTCCTTATTTTTTGGCCCTACCTTTGCTGCAAAACTTAATCCTTTTGCTTTATGTAACAGAGGGTCATGTTTAGCATTTTTGAGAATTTCATTTGAACTTTTACTGCTGAAGGAGTTTGAATCCTGCTAATTCACATGTACTAGCAAAACAATTCAAACCTGTACTGAAAAGTTCATTTAGAATTTAAGTGTTGAGTAGTTTTTGCTTAATTTCTCATAGCTGACAGGTGCTGTCACCTAATAAGCCCCATTTCTGGAGTTTTATCTTTGGTTGTCAGCTTCTCTATAATATCTAATCATTCAGTAAATACTGCTAGGGTTTTTAGGGATTTTCAGTACCATTTTCCGCCATATTACAGCAGGCCTCTTCTTTCTCATTGCTTTCCATGCAGAGCTTAAATTATGACCACCACAAGAATGTATATTATGTATTACTTGGTCCAGTCTTCATATTTAGAAGAGCTGTCAATGTTCTTCCAAAGTAACTTCTCTCAACTCCAAAGTTACAGGAAATGGGGAGTTCCATCTGCCTTCCCTTAATCTCCACCACCATAGCATTTTTGCACTTTCTCCAACATCATTTCTAGGTCCATATCTTTCAACTGTAGAGGCGGCAATTGTCCAAGTAAATAAGTACACATATATGTTTTTAAGTTCTTCCACTTGGATAAGTCATGTGACATTAATATATTGTTTTTTTTTTTTTTTTCAACTTGAGCTTTCTAAAGCTATATGAATATCTCATCTCTCCTTTTCTTTCGGATGACAGAGACAATATCTTGTATTGATTGCTTCTTTATTCATATTAGGAACTGACCATAAGAACAATCTAAACTTGCTTTCAATTTATTTTATTTCACTCTTGGATAAAATTAGATGGACTTGTTTGCTGAACAAAATTTGTTATAATGAGTTGAAGTCAGCCTGCATATTGTAGAAACATTGTTGTCTTGTTTTTCGTTCTCTTTTAAATTTTTGCTCCAGTTTTTAATTGTCCTCCTTGAATTTGATGGTTAGGGATTTTAAGTTTTAAGTTATCTCATGCATTGTTTTTGGTTATTGTCAGGTTAGATGGTGATGGATGGGGCTATTCACTGAAGAACCTTATCTAAAACATATCAGGTTTCACCGTTTGAGATTGGATTTGGCCTTTTTTTTTTTTCTGTAATTTTTTGTTTGCATTTTCTTTTAGATTGCACACTAAAGGCTAAGATTGGAATTGGTCCTTTTTTTTTTTTTTGGATATGTGTTTTCTTTTAGATTTACAAGAAATAAGCGCAAGGCGCAATGAGACGCAGCCTTGTGCTTCGAACAGGTCGAGATGAGGCGCAATACTCAAGGCGTAGCTTAGGAGCTGAGGCGAGGGCTTTTTTTCGAGGCATGAGGCGTCGGCTTTAACTATTTTTCTACTCCAACTATTGATTAATTTTTTTTTTTTTTTTGTGGGCATACCCATAGGGATTCAAAACTCTTAAATATAAAATGGCCAAACGTGGTCAAAAGAGAGCAAAAGGTGATAAAAGATTGAATGTTATGTTTTATATCTTTTGTTGGATATTATATTTCTAATTTTTAGAAGATTGAATGTTATGTTTAAAGATTTTCAGAAATAGTTATGATTATTGAAATTATATATATATATATATATATTTATTATGTTGAAAAGTTTGCCTATTTTATAATTTTGCTTTTCTTTCACTACTTGCGCTTCGCTTTGGTGAGGCGCGGGCCTCACCGCATGCCTCGTGCATAGGCTATAGGAGACCTTATCGCCTCAGTGTGCTTGGAGCCTTTTAAGACACTGACTCATATTTTTTGGTTAATTAGTATAATTTTATTAGAGATGAGGCACCGAGGAGCTATACTAAGGGAGTGTTTGATAATCTAATTCGTCAGTTAAAACTGAATGTATTAAGTGATAATCAATTAAGCTCGTTTGATAACTACAATTGATATCACTTAAAAATTTAAGTGCCTCCTAAATGTAAGGTAAAATTTAAGAAAATTTTAAGTCATAAGAAACTTACTTAATTTTAACTAAATTTATAAATACTAAACATAAGCATCAATGTACGTTTTTACTGTTACCACTACCACCACTATCGTGCCACCAACACCACAACCATCACCACCATTATGCCACCGCCACCAATACCAACACCACCACCATGCCACTGCCACCACTATCACCACTATCACCGTCTTGCCACCACCACTACAACTACCACCACATTTACCACCATTGTTATTGTTGTCATAAGTACCACCATCATTTTACTACCATTACTATCGATATTGTCATGGCCACCAACACCATCAATGCCACTATCACCACAACCACAACCACTACCAACACCACTACCACCACCACTACCATACCATCACCACCACCGTCACAATATAAAAATTTTAAAAAATAAATTTTAAATTTGATCTTATATATATCAAATAATTTATTTTTAATTCAACAATTGAAATTTTATCAAATAGTTTTTTATCTTAAAAAATTCAGCATTCAGTTTTCAATACTTAATTTTTAGTTTTTGGCTTTATCGAACACGACCTAACTATATGTCAAAATCTACTCAAAAGTCTATAAAATCCAAAAATTGATTTGAGGATGAATTAATCATCCTAAAAAACCAACTATGCAAAAAATTTTGGGAAAATTTGTTTGGTTTGATTACTTTTGAAAACTTGTTTGTAGAGAATTTTTCTCAAAATTTTTTGAGAAACACAAACCAAACAAGGCCTAAATTTTTAGTTTTTGGCTTTATCGAACACGACCTAACTATATGTCAAAATCTACTCAAAAGTCTCAAAAATCCAAAAATTGATTCGAGGATGAATTAGCCATCCTGAAAAACCAACTATACAAAAAAGAAAGTAATTTACTTTTAATACTCAAAATTGATTCTTCTTTGCCAACAAATGTGCTTATATTCCTTTCACCCCAAACCTACCACATCAACGCCAAAGCTTAGTTGCAGGAATCGCGCAACTAGGTGGCGATTCTCAGTGAGAATCGCGATTCCGCGATTCCTAATATCAAAGAAAGAAGAAACTCCCCCACCATTGTATAGAACACCAATCGATGCCGAACCAACCTTTTCATGCCTACGTATGCAACACTGATTGACGTGCACTTCTTTCCTTTTAGTAAAGTTGTCAATGGTGAGAATCTTCCTATGTGTAGCATACCAGACAAAGAAAACCACCTTAGACAGGGCCTTAATAAGTTAGTACTCCAAACCCTTCTCTACAGGAAGACAGACACATTGCTCCCTACAAGAGTGGCATAGTAAGACTTCATACTGAACTGGCCGAATGAGGACTTCAGCCATCAAACTAAATCACCACCATCACCAATATGGGATGAATAGAGATGACCAAGGAGATCCGATAGCTCCATAATGTTCGGAGCTTTAAGCTATTTTCAAAGCCCAAAATCCCAAAATACCTAATAATCAAATAACCGTAAGTAGTCACTGACTGAGGCCTCTTTGTTACCAGCAATGCTAGCAATTTTAGGAAATAGACTCTTCAAACACTCATCTCTGCACGAGCAATAGCTCCAAAACCTAGTATGATCCCTACTCCCTATCACAAATTGAATATGCTCATAAAAATGTCTTATCTTACCCACTTCTGATTCCTTTCGATAGATCAATACTATAAGATAAAAGCCACCACCCCTCTCCAACATCTTTTCCTTTCTCTAGAAAACCTCCATAATCATTTCCCCAACAAAGCTTGATTAAAAATGGCAAGTCCCAACCTCCCCTCCTTCGAGGATGAACGTACAGTGTCCCAATCCATGAAATGATATTTAACTCCTTTTCAATCCCCTCCCACCAGATGTCACACACACTGCAGCTTTTCCAATTGTTTCCCAACTGAAACAAGAATAACGAACAAAGATGTGAAATAAGTAAGAGGCTACACAAAATGCTCCTCTGTCTTAATCATAGTCAACCTCGCTCCTTTGAACAAACACCCTTTCCTACCCTGTGGCTGTCAATCGCCTCTGGAACCTTTGCACCATCGACTTCTAGACCGACTTTACCTTGGATGAAGCTCCAAGAGGAAGACCCAAATATGAGAAGATACCTTAAAATGATTATTTGGGAAGATACCATCCTGTTGTTGTTACACGGTCACTTATCCCAAAAGCTAGCTATTGAGGTGAAGATGCCCTCACGCTTATATGCTTAATATTACTTTAGTACTCAGGCGATGTGGGATTTCGCTTCACAGTTATGTCTCATTATTTTCTGACTATAGTTTTATAGCCATTAAACAGTAGATATTATTATGTTTAAGTCAAGGATTTTGTTACTGTTTTCTAGCTAATGTAGCAAATTCTTAACATTTTAAAGATTCTCTGCGAAATAATATTCTTGTGATCTTGTTTCTTACCTTGCTACGCATTGTTTGCACTGACCGTTATTTTGCAACTCTATTCAGCTAATACCATCAGCCATCTCATCATGCAAGCACTAGGGCATGTTTCTCTGGTAATGCACAACAACTTATTGTGCCTTACAGTTTTATGCCTTAAACTAGTTTTTTTGCTTGCACGGTGTGGTTTGATCATTAATGTGACTGTTAAGCGTGCACTGGTCTGCGTATGTTATAAGGGGCCAACCCAGCAACCTCAAATGTTCACTGCAAAAAAATACTTGAACCAGGAGTTTGGCCTTTTGCCCATCTGAGTAGATGTTTAATGTATCCTGACAATTGCTGCCTTATCTCCCTTGTGAACTTTTATTCTGTTTCTAGAGATTGGATTTATGTAAGCTCTGAAGTTTACGGCGAGCTGAATGTTCAAAATGAAATTAATGTTCATTTTATTAGACCAGATATCAGAAGTGGAAAGAAGTGACGTCGATCCAGTTTTCTATTTGTTTCCGGGAAGTGTAGTGTTTGTTTTCATTTGGTTTCTTATCTTCTTCCTGGGGTACAAAAATGTTTACCAATTATTTATACAAAAAAAAAGAAAAAAAAGAAAAAAAAGAAAAAGAAGGTGGTTTCCCACACTCTACTCTTTTAGAAGTTGTAAGCTCAGGTCTATTGAACTTAGTGGGGCAATACAGGTCTTGGTTTGTTTCTTCACATTCAATACTAATTGATGTAGAACATGCACGCACTAATTTTTGGCATGGAGATTTTATTTACCATTTTATAATTTATTTGTCTTTAATATATGGATGTATATATATATATATATATTTATTATAGTTTAAATAGAAGTTTTATTAATATTTTGTCCTATTTAATTAGGGATTCTAGTTTGCTTTTTTATTAGGGTTTAGTTTCTTATTTTAATTAGGGCTAGTGGCCTATATAATATTAGGTTTTGCATTGTATTATTAAGAGTTTGATTATTAAAATTGAGAGTTTAAAGTTTTGGCCTTGTGTGATTAGTGCTATGGCCTTGTGTTCGTCCTCTGTCCCCTTTCTCTCTTTTATTCTCCCTCCCCGTTCTACGTCACCATTTTGGAGATGAAATTCTGATGTAACTATTTCTAGAACTAATATGAAACATTACGTTGTGTGCATCTTAAATTACATCATTGGTTCTCTTATATTGAAGGAGGGGGCCATTGGTTTAGTGGTTAAACCTTGGCCAGCTAACCATGAAATCATGGGTTTGAACCTAAGGCCAGCTACTTTGTGCAAATTTATGCCAAGTTCGGTCTGTACCCAATTTACCCCTCCTAAACCCCATCAAATGGGGACTGTGTAGTTATTCAGTTAGTTCTCTTACATGGAACATTATATATAAAATGTTGGTGGATATACAAGGTAAAATTTGTCCTTTATAAGCAGGAGTTTTTGCCTCAATATTTACGAAGCTAAAGCTATTACCTTTACATTTAAGAAGTTATTAATGTCTCTAAATATATTGGTTAAAAATTTAGAGGGCTTTTAGTTAATTGGACAGTCTGATCCTTTTGGAAGCTAAATAAGGCGTCAGATGAGGTTCATTCCTCATGAAATTTTATTCCAAACTTTTGTTTCTACCTAAAGCTGTTAAACTGCAGGGGAATATTGGATGAATATGGAATGCATAACTAATTCAAAATTTCGTTCAGTGATCACTAATCAAATTTAAGTAGATTTGTCTAAAATGACTGTTACGTGACTGCAAGTCTCAGTTTTATTATTTTTCATCTGTTACCATTGAAGAAATGACCTTTTTAAAAAGCGTAATGTAAGACTGATGGACCTTAATTTCTTTTTAGTCTTTCCAACTAAACTAGGACCTTTTGTGGTCTGAGAAATCATACCAGAGCAGAGAAAAACTTCTAGTCCCACTCCTGAGATAATGTTAGTCATTCAAGCCTAATACTTGTGTTACTTTGTCTCTATTTTGGGGCATGATGACTGACCTTTAAGAAGTGAAAAATGAGAAATTTCATAGCTGTTCACTGAAAACCCGTTGACACAAGTTGTTATTCTTATTATTTTTAATATACGTAACACCTGTGGTAGCATTATTATTCTCCTTTCCACCTCATAAAAAAAACAAAGGAAAAAAAAAATCAGGTATTTAGTGTCTGATGCTGTTTACTCAATCGAAGGAAAATAATGTTAGCTCTTTCATCCTATTCTTTGCTTGTGTTTTCTGAGATTATAATAACTAAATTATCACTAAATTCTGATGGTACATGATTAAAACTATGGTAGTTATTTGTTACCTAAGTTGTTTGTTTTCTTCTTTGTTTGTTTGTTTTTACTTTTTGAGTGGAGTTTGCCTAAATGTGATAATAGTATTCTTGAGTTATTGTTAAAACCTATCACCTACTTCACCCACTTAAACCTACCCTACTAAACCTAACCCACTACACCACTACCACCTCACCTACTCCACTAAACCTAAATCCACCTACTCTTCACCTACTTCACCCACTTAAACCTATTCCACTAAACCTAACCCACTACACCACTACCACCTCCACTTCACCTACTCCTTACCTACTACACACTCACCCTCTTCTATATATAGGAATCATGAATCATTGTAATATATATAACATATCAATACAATCAATCAATAATACAATCATTTCTCTTTATACATTAAATTTCTACATGGTATCAGAGCAGGTTTAGCACCTAGTATTTTTCGCTTCACCGGCGGGCGGCAACCTCCCCTTAGCCGTCCGCGGGACCTCAACCTAGTCCGCTATGATTTTTTTTACACATACCTCGCCAAAACAAAGCCACCATTGCCATCTCTGCAGAAGCTCTCAACACTGCTTTCAACTGAAGTAGACTTCGATCTCAGATCCTCAAGTCAGTCCAGTTTCGGAATCAGCGAGTACACATTTGCCGATGTGGGAAACTTGGAGCATTGCGCCAAATACCTGAACCAGATGCTCGTTACCTTCGGATTTCCGGCGTCGCTTGATCTGTTTGCAAGTGATCCGGTTTCGATTGCGCGCACTTGCAATTGTGTATATGCACTGTTACAGCAGAGGCAACGTGATATTGAATTTCGGGAGTCTGCTAATGAGCAGAGACAACGACTCCTGTCTGACATATCAAGATTAGAGGCCCGGGTGGAGAGGCTTGAAGCCCAGTTATCTGCGAAAGATAGGGAGATAGCAACAATTACTCGAACGGAAGCTAAAGCTACAGCAGCATTTAAGGCCCATATTGAGAAGTTACAGCAGGAACGAGATGAATTTCAAAGGTTGGTTATTGGTAATCAGCAAGTGAGAACTCAACAAATACATGAGATGAAGAAAACAGAAAAGGAGTATATAACGTTGCAGGAGAGGTTAAATCAAGTATTAATGGAGAAGAAGAAGGAATCTAGATCAGGCATGGAGATAATGCATTTACTTCAGAAAGAAGGACGACAACGTGGCACATGGAACGGGAAAAAGGCTGATAATGACTTCTATAAAAAGATTGTGGATGCTTATGAGGCAAAAAATAAATCAAGAACTAGTGGCAGAGAATGCGGCTTTGGCACATGCACTCCACCCACTCCTTCTCTCTCTGGTCCCTTTTTCTCTCCCCCATACTCCCTTTAATTATATCCATCCTTTTTTTCTTCATTTATTCCACTCACGTTCCACTTTTCTTTTATTTTAATAACTATATATATATATATATTTATTATAATATATTTCCACTACTCCTACTTTTATTTTATTTTATTTTATTTTATTTTTCTTTTTCCATCAATTTTCCTTATTATACAACTCGTGAGCATCACCCTATCTTCCGTCAAAAAAAAAAAAAAAAAAAAAAAAAAAAAGGTCTTAAACATGGGAGAAAGATGATTACATGG